ATATATATATATATATATATATATATATATATATATAATGTCCAAATTAAAAACATTTATGTTACGAACATTTATGTTTTTGCAAATGGTCTTATATGTTGTTCAGTTATTTAAGAAATAAATTTTGCAACAAACTGCATGCTTTGCCATTATGAACTGGAATGCATGGTGATATAATACCACAGTGGTGCATAGTTCGGGCTAGGATGATACCGCATAATATTGCTACGATAGTATCGCGATAGTCCCCACTTGCTTGCGCGAGCGATCGCATGCATTTTCCTACGAATACTATTATGTAAACGTAAATTCGCATAAATCGACCACGCGAAACAAGAAGCGCCTGTATTTTACAACGGGAGATCGCTCTCGTTTTACGAGAGAATGTGATTTACACAGTGAATGTCAGGTATGCATTAAGCGCGTAAATCTGGATCTACCAGCCGGTATTAGCTGCGAATCTCATGACCATAATACAAAGTACGTAGTAAACGTGCATGCGGTGATGCCAAGGTAAACAGCGACCTAATTTCCGATAGATATTGTTATTTATCCCGGAGCGGAGATGATTCAGAGTTATCATTCAGAATTATTCGTCTCCGTAAGTTAAACTTTAAACAAATTATTGACATTAATTTGTACGATGCGACGCAAAATGCTATTTATAAAAGCATAGTTTGAAATTGTTTGTATTATTTGCAAAGCAGAGAGCTTTGTTGTCAAGAAAAGAATTCAACATTGTAAAAAAGAAATATTCTATTTTATTATATTTTACAGAACGCTTTAAAATTGACGGGTGATGAATGTCTAAATTAAACGATGAACGAATGTTTAATTTTATATACGCGATTAAAACTTTTCTCTTCCATTCTTTTTTTTTATAACCATTAACCACCTACATATCTTTGCTAATAAAAATGATACTATATATCTATGCACGTGCACGCATTATGGAAATAATGATCTTGGAATATTTACTTAATAAAAACGCTCCATATTGGATTTGTACAACTTATGTACTTTTGCATTTTATATGCGCCGACACGGGCATGTAATAAAAAGCATATATATTATTACCTATCACGGTGATTTATGTCCACAATTACATGCTGCGAATTAATGCTTCAGATATCCCGGACGAATTAAACAAGCCCGCGCTGGGCTGATATCGAGCTATTTAGTAGACGTCGACTCTCTTCGTTCGCGCGATACAGCGCGCAAATTAATGAGAATTTTTTTCAGCTTCGATAATTCGCCCGTTCGCATCGCGCCTTTCTTTCGTTCGTATTACGTTCCGCGCTCCTCTGCATTCTTAAAGCGCAAACTGATACAAATCTGTTCCGCTCCGCATGGTCGACTTCCCCTGGTTTGCAGGATGTTCATCCCGCATGAAATATCTACCTCTCGTTGATGTCTTAAAGCAACCCTTTTCACTCTTTATTCGCGTAGCCAGAATTTCTTGTCCCGTACAAAGCACGCTAGTGAATCTTCTTCGTTTTTAGGTTCGAGGTTTATTTTCAGGAAAAGAGAGAGAAAACGAGGAAGAGAAGAAACGCGAAAAATAAGATCTCAAGAGTCTCAAATGTGAATCGAATATCTCTCCGAAAAATATAAAGATTTTGCATTTTACAGTTTAATATAATAAATAATAACGCAATAAAACGGAAAACAAGCGAATTGAGAATCTAATCTACGTTAAATGTTCTTTTAATAAATCTAATGGATATAGCCATTATATTGCTTTTGTATCTGATTCCCTTGTTTATCTCTGTAAGCACTTGATGTCCCAGTCCGTTCCATAGATTTCGTTGCCAGGAATAAAGTGCACGAGGTATGTTTCGCTCCACGATATCTCGAGCTTTCGCATTATCCGATAGAAACACCGAGCCGGGATGTACCGATGGCGGATAACGCTAACCCCTTATAATATTTAACGCTCTCCCGACGGACCATAATTTCTTAAGACACTAGTTACATCCTGCTTCGACGGACTTCGCTTACTTTACTTTACGCAGTCATCACTATCGACAAGATTTTTTCCTAAGGGACGCGTGAATATCAGATTTGAGAAATGCACTGACACTAATGGAATTTTTATCTGCTTATTTTTAACGAAGCATTCGATGCATTATTGTTGTCAAATATCTTACGGGAAAAATTCTCCAGAAATTTTTTCATATAAAAGATAACAATCTCGTTATTAAATAACTATTATTTTAAAGAAATAAATGACTTAATCGCTTGCATAAGAAGAATTTCTAAAATTACAAAAATAAATATTCTAGAAAGACAACTTCTAATTGTAATAATCAAGTAATTTAATTAACAATTTCTAAATAATTTAATTTTAACAATTTTCTAATTGTTATTCAAAATATATTAATTTAATTTACAATTTTTGAGAAAGAACTGGATTAAAGAATTCCGAGATTTTAACTTTTGTATTCATTATTTGTAATAAAATCTCTCTCTCTCTCTCTCTCTTTCTCTCTCTCTCTCTTTGCATTAATTCAAGTTAATTAAAATGTTATAATAGATAAATTTTTGCCTAATATATATTTTTAGAAAAAGTACAACTTCAGTTTTTACATTCTCACGGAAGTTTAGTAACTGTAATGCAGTTATTAAAGGGAAGACCCTTAACACTGTCAAGACGAGGGATGTTTACTGTAGAATTATTGATATTTTGCTTTTGACTGAATATCTTTTGCATGAATAGTTTGTTCTGATCTCAGTTGGATCGAAAGTTATTTGGCTCTCTCAAAAGAGATTTTGAATATACAAGTATTAAATGATTTTACTCAAATCATGTGATTTATGTCCAACGGGAATAACAATATCCGATGCTTTTAGAACTATATTTTTCATTTTTATCAAAGGAACAAGGAAACAGAATCTCGTCCATCTTGCTGGACGTATAAGAGCAAAAGTAAATTCAAAATCTTTTTCAATGTTTTCGCAATGTTTATTAACATAAAAATCGATTTTGATCGAATCTTGTAATCGTAGAATCGTAAGCTCGTAAAAAAAAGTAAGTAAAAAAATAATAAGAAGGAGATAAAATAGACATCTCTCTGCATTGTCATCATCGCCACTCCAACCGTATTCCTGGCACTTGTTGTCCTCCTTCGGGCTACAGCTCCGTTCCACTCTCATTGCACAAAACCACTTCTCCCCGAGTCGACCGCACTACTCCGGGACGTGCCGTGGCCTTTCATCTGATCGTCGAGGCAGGATCGTAACAAAGGGTCCATGGTGTCCCAACGAGAAGGAAATATTGTGAGAGAATTCCCTTTTTCGCCGCAACAGCGCGCCTCATTTGAGCCGCACAGCGTAGCCGCAGGCGAAATAAAATGCAGAAAAAACTGCAACGGATCGTAGTTAGAACTTGCGACAATATCTTTTCGAACCAACTGTTTTAATTTTATTCTCGTTTTAATTCTAAAATGTGTGGTGCTCTCGGAAGAAGTTCAATTTTAAAGTAATACGAGCTTCAATGAGATAAAAAAGAATAGCATTTTTTGCTAGGTCTTTACTAAATCCTAATATTTTAGAGATTATGAGAATGTAAAAGAATATAAATTTAATACAAAAATTAAAGAAGTGTAATAAATAATGTCAAGTGAAATAATATATTGAGTGTTTATATTAAAGAATTTTTGAAACTAAAGTTATAATTTTTTTAAACTAAGTTAATAATTTTATACTGCATATTATGTGTGTTGTAAAATATATAAATAAATAATTTTTTTGTATTGTTGGCGAAATTCTTATTTTATTTTATAGAACACGTAATTATGCATTCAAAAATTATGTATATTTAAACAAGATTTAATTTAAAAATATATATTATTATTTAATTTTCTTTCTCTTCTTTCGGATGTGCTAATTATGTATGATAAAATCATTAATATCATTACTAACATTGGCATAATGTCATTTTTATTAATTTATATTTACACAAGAATAATACAAAAATATTTTTTATATTTTACAAATTAGAGTGTGTGCATAAAAAATATATTTTGGTATATTACTTGAAAAATATGACTGTGTTTTACCAGGAAAATAATAAAATTGTACGCTTTTATATGTGATTTACTCTGACATACATATATACGTCTATGACAATTGACGTTTTCCACTATAAAGACAATCTTTTTCAGTTTACATGTTAAACTGAACGCTATGAAAAATTATACTGCTATTTCATTACTATGTTCTATATAGCCGCAGTTATAAAAGCAGCCTCAATTCATTAAAAAATAATGCTCCGTTACCCAGCTATCTGCAGAGTAGTATTCTCGAGTAAAATGGAGAATGGTCTTCAACATCTTTTTGACAGAATTTTTTTTTATCGTTTATGGCAATTTATTGTTCGCGTCAGAATAGTGTATAAATCATTTCGTTAGCAAATGTTGTTTTAGTAAAATAAAATTTAGAATCTTTGTAGTATAAATGAATATTTAAAATTCATTTTAAATTAATTTATAATTTGCATCAAATTTTAAAATAGAATTTCATTTTAATATTTTATCTTAATATTTCACCTCAATTTACCTTACTTCAATTTTATCTAAATATATATGTACTTAGATATGCGTGTTTTCAAACAATGTGTATCTAAAAGACGCATCTTTCTTAATGCTCCTAATTTTGTAAAAAAAAATGTTTTAAAGACATATTTAAAACATAAAGACATATTTAAAACTTCTTAACAAAGAATTTTATTTCGAAGAAAAACAAATATCGAATTTTATTATAAATTTCGACATAAATCGGCTAAAGTAGGCTTAATACAATTTTTTACATATCTCATTAGTATTCATGTAAAAGAGAAACATAAATGAATTTTCTTCAATTTTCTTATTATAAATATTAGAAATATGTAATAAATATTATAAATATTAAAAGCGATTTATTCCAATTAAATAATTAATTATACATAAATTGTTCATTACATAATTTGTCCGTTTTCATCTCACGAATTAACGAATTAATCGTATATACATTTATACGTGTTATTAATTTTCCATTTATTTTATTCCATTATTAATGTAATATTCCATTTAAATATCTCGTTTATTTTTGCTCATCGTTTTATTCTGTCAAACTTTCTATCAACAAGACTCGGCGGGAGATTCCACGCGATCTTCTACATCCGATTTAGGCGCAGTAATTGCATCTATAACGACTGTAATTACAGACGGCGGGCGTGCCGAGGGCGTGGGCGACGCACGGGGGTGAGGATGTGCCGGTGTTCGCCATCGGGCCCCTCGCGGGCGCCCTGTTTTCCGGCAGCATCGACCAGAGCTACATCCCGCACGCGATCGCCTACGCCGCCTGCCTGGCCCATCACGCCAGTCGCTGCTCTCGGGATCCCACGAACAACGCGAATGCCAGCGACACAATGAACGCCGCGCCGATAAGCTGTCCCTCGGCGGAGCCGAACAGCGCGGCGATATCCAGCGATGTGATGAACGACCGCATGCGAAATCCACCCACGAAATCCGCCGCCGGCCGTCCTTGCAGTTCGTTGGCCGGCAGCACCTCGCTGCCGCTGTTGCTGCCGCTCCTGCTGCTGCTGCTGCCGATGCTGTTGCCGCTGTTGCTGCTGTTGTTACAGACGCCTCTGGTGTCTCTCGTTCCGCTGATTCCCCGGTGTCCCTTCGAAAGGACGAGTTAATGCGTTCCTCTGTCCCGCGTCCAAGGAGCAAAGCGGAGCTTCCGTCTATGTAACAGTCTATGTCGGAGGTACATGACAGCACGGAGAAGCTCAAAATACGAGCGTCCTGGTGCATTCTGACGCGTAATAATAGTCGATGGAGCGGCCGCGGGTCGTGTAAATTTAACGGGGCGCGCGGGTCTTGAGAGTGGCTCGTTTCGAACGAGTGGTGATCATCGGCGGGTCTCTCGGTGAACCGTTAAATGGATCGTTTGCCCAGCAACCATACGCTGCGAGGGTTGTCGAGTGTTAATGCAAGTGGCATGGTGTAATATGATGGCCATGGTATAGCGCAGGAGTGTCCTCGGAATTCAAGAGCGACTTAATAGGAAGGACACGCCGCGAGGATCTCTTTGAAGAAAGACGCATTTGCGTTCCCCTGCCCAGAAATCGACGATTCACGACGAATTGAACGAATTCATGAATATTGGTGAGATATTGTGAGATGAACTAACGCAGTGTATCACTTTTTAATCTTCTCATGCATTCTGGATCTCAGAATATAATCGAGTACTTCTACTTCATTTAACGATTTAATTGATACAAATCCTTGTTTGAGAGAGTGCCTAAAGGAGCTACAAACTTTACGCTAATGATTAAAACTCCTTCGATAAAACTTCAATGAGAAGATTGAAAAAGAAATCTCTTGATTGATCTCGTTATTTCAGGAATTTTTGAAAACTATGAGATCATAGAGTTTACTATATTTTAAATATTTTTATTATCAAATTATGTATTTTGTTTAGCAAAAAATATTATTTAATTATATTACATTTTTTTCTTTTAATTGAAAGAAATAGACCGTTGCATGATAAGACTAATTACATCGTTCGACTCTGCGAAATGTTTCGAAACTATTGCAATTTTCAGCAGCTACATTTCTGTTCTTCTCTTTTGGTTAATTGACAATAAAGTATATTTTAATAAAGATTTTGTTAAAATAAATTTTCACCTAGAACTAAATATATTTTTCGAAAGAAGAAAATCTGTAAACGTCATCTCAATTTTTCATCGAATCATCGATCGTTGCTTCTTGCTAATAGAAAATAAAGCAGCTTTGCTTAAGTCAGTCTGTAGAATAAGAAAAAGCGATGTTTTTGATACATTTCGCATATCTTGAAGAGATCCGTTCGTCTATTTTTTAAGTGGTGACTTACCTCGAAAGACTTGAAAGCAACTATTTCAGCGAGAATTTGTATGTTAGCATACAACGAACTAATAATGTGACTTCGCCGATCTAACAAATTGTTCAACGAGTGGGCCGTAAAATGTTTTCGAATCATGAGAATTTTGACGTAATATAAAATGTAAATATATATTAAGACTAAAGCATAAATAATGTATAAATATCTTGAGACACGCGTCCACACATCGAATGTAAATTACAGAGGTAGCATTTAATTACCGGACTGAGACGGATTCCTCATTAGCACACGCTGACACGCTATTCTCGACGCGTTTATTTAATCTTCTGGGCAGGATTTTATATTGGGCCAGTAATATTTATAACGGGAATAAAACGATTTTTCACAGAGTTTATTTTGCACCGAGCTGTTGAGAGGAAAGATAATGCACAGGTGAAATTTTCGCACTTTACGTCACGCCGCTTACGTCACTTTTATTTTAAGCATCACGCAACATAGATTAGTCTTCAAGAACTTCGTTACGATGAAAATTAATCGTGCACTTTGGTCCGAATAGAGTCGAAAAAAAAAAAATGGTCGCTTCAGATTTGTCCGCTTCGAACAATTATTATTAAATAATCAGCCTGCGCCGTCTTTTCCAATTCATTCGTAATTTATTGCGATATCGCGCTTCGTGGGAATCGAGATCTACTGGCAGTGCACTCATGTATTTGTGACTAGTAACGAGGGAATTACAGCTGCGAGTCGAGAGTCCCTTCGCCATTCAATTCTCCAGAATCCATTCTCATGAGTAGCGCTTCCGTTTTCAGTTTTGATGAAGCCGTACGAATTTTATGGAGCGTTTCGTGCATATTCACGAGCAGTTCTGAAAGATGATTTGCCTTTTACGCGATGAATCGCGACTTTGATTTATAGCTCCTCTATAAATTGATGAACTAATTGCGCCAACAGATTGCTGTTTTAATCGTTTTAACAGGCAAGCGCTAGTGTCGAAAGTGGAAAAGTGAGAATCGTCTTGGAAACAAATATGCGTTATTCAAGATTTGAATCTCGAATTTATTTATTACCAAATATATTTATTATTATTATTACCTTATAAATTACTGCTTGAAATTTATTTATATAAGTTTAGTAACTTATTCGGCTATGATTCGATCTTTTTTATTGGACAACATATATATTGATAAAATAATTGCAACAAATTACAAATTATGGATTTATTCAGTATAATCAAACTTAAATCTTTCTCAAAATCTTCTTAAATCAGATATCTTCTTAAATCAGATGGATATGCTGATGGAATTTAGCGATTTTATGTAAGAAGAGAAGAATGCGTTGTTAAAGAACTCTGTTTCTTTTTTAAGAATAATACGTGCGTTGGATACGAGAGATGGAAGATATCTTTATAAACGTGTGCACATTCGTCAAGTAATATTTTTCTCGTATCTTGTTTCCAACTTCACTGCGCCGTATGTGTATTCTCGAACAGTTATGATTTTTCTACTCATAAGATATTTCTATTCGCGTTGTCAGACCTCCATGTGATATTCAATGATTGGCAAGATGATTGCAACAAGTTACTATTTTTATCATTCCATTAGACGCGATACGTGAACGAGACTTAACAAGAATTTTGCAAGAATAACGATCATATCTGCTAAAAGTGTCTTATTTTATTACGACAGTTTTACTATCGTAATAAATACACAGAAAATGAAAATCAAGAGATATCTTGCAAGCGCGCGTACATCGAATAATATTTTTATTTCGCTTCCGATTCACGCGGATTTGCTTTTTGGAATGTTGAAGTCAGTCCTGAATTTGTGGACGAATGAAAGCGCACGCGTACATATACACGTAGCGTAATACACCGCGAATATATATAAAACAAATGATAGCTTTGAGATAGCTGAAGCTAAATGACAATGGAGGCTTTGGCAGGGTAAATTCATGCTCGGAATGTCACTTTTATGATCGTGTGACATAAAAAGCGGGGTGAGTTTCCACAAGCGACGTAAATTCTTCTGCATGCATCCCAACCTCGGTTTGTAGATGCTATAAAACAGTTATAAGGACAACAAATGAGACTGAGCGCATCTTTACGCATGTTGGTGCCAGAACTTATCTGTCGACTCATTATTCCGACGCAAACTACCAAGTTATTCGTACGGTTAAGCTTTTCACCTAGCTTTTGAGCTAGCGTAAGATTTTAATTGCAAATGAAATGAACATTTTAATAACATAAGAAATCAACAGAATAAAATTGGAGATTACACACTGTATTGTCGCTTCTTAAATTGGATTAAGATTTAATATATAAATTGCTGCATTATTATATGAAAAATACTTTATTGCAATTTATATGATAAATAGTATATGTTGCAACATCTTTTGTCAAAAAATAAGCTAATCTATTCATGAAATATAAACCTATAAATATACATTTTCAAACTCTGAGTAGATACGAAAATAAAGAGAAACCGATTTCGAATTCTTAATTCTTTTATTACATAATATAAAAATTATTATATAATATAAAAATCTTGATTTTTATCACAATCACAGAAATAATTTATGTCAAAATATTAATAATTTTATGAAAAGCAATGTTTTGGCAAAGAAGAAATTATTTCAAGTTTTGATGCAAGATTTTTTTATTCGTATAATGTTTCTAATATTAAATACTTTATAAATTTATTATTTGCATGTATATAATTCAACAGATAATATTTTATGTATTATGTAAATGTAAAATATCACTAGGAAAATATAGAAATTGCATTACTTATTTATTGTTGAGGCAAATGCTTCTCGTTTGCACATACCTCAAGCATTTAAATTAGTTATGAATAAGGAATGGACATGGTAATTACTGCGTTTTCCTAGATTTTCAACTACTTGAGACATTTTACTTGCATTTTGAATGCAAGATATCGAGTAACAATGACTCGTAGATGAAAAGATATAGCATTCGTTGGCGCACTACGTGAAACTAAAGATACATATAGATATAGTAAAATTATAATCAGTAAAATCCTGAAAGAATAAAATGTTCTGTAAGATACTTGTAAATTACACTGCATCTTGTTAAACGCTCCGTATAATTCGACTTTAAATTCCTTCGACTCGCATTTGCGTTGTTTAAAACTGAAATAGAAGTTGAAGCTAGGAAATTGCTAACAAGGATACGTTTTAGTTGCTTTGTACCGTAAACCGAGTTGCGAATTACGAATTATTTGGACTTTAAATCGGGATGGCGCAAAATTCTATTTATTTACTGTGAAATTGTCATAATGCTACTAGCCGATGACAAGATTATCAAGTTACATTAAAGCGCAAAACATTTCGATGGTGTCAATAAGTGATAATAGCTCATTAATACAAAACTAACTCCTTTTGTGTGTGTCCAAAATAGTTTCCGTTAATAATTGTCAGAAATTACGCTGGTTTATTCATATTTAAATACACATTGTATAATATAATGTTGCGTTCTAATATATTTATATAAATTATATAAATTTTCCATTTTCTAGTTAATAACATTTTCATTGTCAGTCATCATCGACTTTTGTTTAATTTTAATGATAAATGAAAATTTGTCAATATATCATATAATCTGAAACGTTTAATCACGAACATGTGACGCATGGTATTTTGAGCCGACAGCATTCAAGCCGAGCTTACACTTCGAGGGACTTATGTTTAAATAGAACTCTAGCGATAGTGCGATGGATCATGTGAGACCAAATTATGACAAAAGAACGCGATATGACTTCACCAACCTATATATTTCTGTAAAGAACGTCAACACGAATTATTACGAATGTAATTTATTATAGATATCTGTATACTATTGTTTCATAAAAAA